ATTAGTTGCACAGTCATCTGTGACCGGAAGTCTCCTGCTGAGTCATCTGCGGTGTAATGAGCCAAAACTGTGCAAGATCACACAGTAATGGTTGAATCACTGGAAAGTGGTGATGATTTGTCACTCGTATCAGTTTATAGAGCAGTCAGGTGGACATCATCCCCTGTGTGGTAAAGGTGGAGCTTGATGACAGCAAAGGTTACTGATAATGACAGATACCGTATCAGGCGTGGTTATAGCAGGGACACGCCGGAAGGTCAAAGATGGATGACTTAGTGGCACTTGAGGTCATCAAGCAGAGGCAGAAAGTCACAATGAGCTGAAAGATAAGCTCAGATTTTGGCTGCTCTTGTTTACATTTTTGTACAATAATGGATTGAATGTCTATGTGGCACAACGTCAAACGAATGAGCTGAACGTTGCTGCTCCTCTCAGCTCTGTTGAACTTTTATCTTCTTTCAGATCACTGTTTTGGTTTTACGGCCCACGTCTTTACAGCCTGATTGCTTTCATTAACCTTATTTCCACACACACACAATGCCAGTTAGACAGTCAGCAGCTTGGTGGTGAAGACAGCAGAACGTTTAAGAACCAGTCATTTCTCCTAGAAGTTGGTCAAAACACAAAACACAACCCAAAGCAGCTGTAATTACCGTAATGACAATATATCCAGTGGTAACGTGACGGGAGCCGTTTGTTGTGACGAACCGACCCGTTGGCGATAATTACCCGAATCTGCAGCTATCTTCGGCTTTAAGGCGCTTTATCGCACGTCATTATTTAGCTGTCAGCTTTTAAACGTTGCTGTTTTGGTTGAAGCTCGCTGTTGTAATCGTGTAATTTTTGGCCTCGAGCTCAAAACCAACTGTGCCCGATGTGTTCAGCACCAAGCAGCAGACAAATACAGCCGACTGGTGAAGTGAACGAGCAGCTACAGAGCCAGATGTTTCTCTTAGAAGTAGATGTGAGACTAAGGTCCTGTGTACACGTAGCAAAAACAGTGATATTTTAATGCGTTTGGGCCTAAACGAAGCTAGAAAACGATCACATCTGAAAACTTCAGCCACAGTGGAAAAACTCCATCTTAACTTTTGCACGTAGACGGAGGAGGAGACGATCTTTGACATCACAGTATGTGATGAAAGCATCATGTATGAGACCATGTTTACAGTTTGGCTCCTGTGATAGAAAGTCAATATTTTCAAGTACAGTCGTGACTTGATAATCCGACACTAAATGTAAAACCTTCTTTCATGTCGGATAGCAAGGCTGTCGGATTATCAAGACGGAGGTCCAGATACAAGGAGGGCTTGATGCTGGAAGGATCATTAGTTGTTCATATTTATTGTTCATAGTTATTAATAATAACACGTATGCGGGACACTTTTGGGTCGTATGAAGTTCACACAGCAGATCACATACAAGTCGCATTTAATTGGAAATATGAAGGAAGTCACAAAGAAATCCTCATTGAGCATCAAGTCCTGCAGTGTGAACGTAGCCAATCTGTGGGATTGTTCAGTCAGATAATACGCCGTCATCCTGATTGGTGACATTAAATGTCATGTCGCAGTCAGAATCCAAGGCTGTCGGTATGCTTCTCGTTACACTGCCCCCTATAGGCTGGGCATGCTCATAGCAGCTCTTAAAGATGTGTTTATGCGGGTTTGTATTAACGAAGCTTTTTTGAAAACAATGTGGTGTGAACAATGTAGACTCGTTTTTGTAAATACCCGGCGATGTGTAAACGTGATATAAAAGCAGCCACAGCACAATGAATATGCTTTTAGACTGACCAAGTGGCCAGAAATGATCACTTACATTTCAGTGCTGTGAACCATTGGTTCTGCTGTTGGCCATCACAATCTGGCCTTTTAAAACGAGATGTATAAACACCCCCCTCATTGTCGTCTATTTTACACTAAATGGGACCAAAATTTACAAATCGAGCATCCTGCTGTATCAAAGGAGACCCTCAACTATCGATTGAAACCATAAACTCATTATGAAAACGTTTAATGAGGTGACAGATTACGGGAGAAGTAGGATCTTTTTCTCATAGACTTCCATACAATCTGAATTCTCTTTGCGAGCAGAGGAGTCGCCCCCTGCTGGCCAGTAGAGAGAATGCAGGTTAAAAGCGCTTCACTTTCCTGTTGCACGTGTGAAAAGTTTAACGTAAAAATACTCATTCACAAGTTAAAGTTGTGGAAACACTGAGTACAGAAGTATGATTAGCAAACCATATCACAGACATTTGATAGTGCGTGATCATACACGAGCATCATTCTTATATCTTAGCTGGTCAAGGTTGAGCTGGATTTTCTTTTTAAACCACGTGTTCCAGTGTAAACTCTGCCTGTCGCTCTGACCCTCACTGGCTTCAGACTCACTCCTCAGCACACTCTAATCTACTCGGCCTCTCTGGGAGCCTCTTATCTCAGCATATATACATTTATAACACCAAATAAGGCTGTGAACTCATTTATAGCAGCGGAGCTTCCATATAAGTCCTTCCTGAGCAGTGAGAAAAGCAGCCTACTCACTCTGACCACACATAACTCAGAATAAGGATGTAAAACGTCAGGAGTGTTTTCACTTGAATGTGTTCTGAATGATTTACAGAAAAGCCAGTCGCCTGCTTTCAGGAAATCCGGAATTTTTTTTTGCTCTGTTAGCATCAACACAAGTTTCATTTCTTTTTTTTTAACATTGCTTTTCACAATCCTTAAGATGAGTGTTGTTCTAACTGGAATGGTCGTTTCTGGTTAAATGGGCTCTAAAACCTAAAATATCAGCAGCTTTTTATTGTCTAAAAAACACCGTCAAGATCAAAAATATAGTGTCCAGCGTCCAATCCATGCAGGCTGGACTACTTTACCGGCCTGTTTACTGGCCTCTCTCTCTCAGTACGTCCAGAACGCTGCTGCTCGAGTCCTGACTAGAACCAGGACCATATCAGTCCAGTGCTCAAGTCTCAAACTGACTTTAAAACAGCTCTGCTTGTGTCCACGTCTCTTCATGGTCCAGCACCAAAGTGCATCTCTGACATGTTAGTGCCGTATGAACCATGTGGGGCTTTGAGAACCTCAGGGAGGGTCTCCTGCTGGTGCCCAGAGTTGGGACTAAATTGTGTTCCAGTTTCATGCAGCTAAAATCTGGAACTAGAAGATGTGAGGCAGGCCTGACGATGTTCAAATCCAGGCTGAAAACAGTTCAGCTGGACGTATTTTATCTGCACTCTTCTAATTAATGATTATGTTTTTATGGGATTGATTTTATCTGCCTCTTTGCTTCTAAAGTAATCAATTAATGATTGTGATCATGTTTTGTGGATTGACTTTATCTGTCTTCTTATAGTTTTGTGCGAAACACTTTGAATCGGTTTATCTGACAGGAGCAGCACACATCAATTAAGAAAAGAAGCAGCAGACAAGGAAACAAACTGTTAGAAGAACAACAGCACGGTGTAATAATAATAATAATAATAATTTACTGTATAATTGTGTATTGTTTATACTAATAACAATTCTGATAATAATAGTAATGGACACATAATAATGGTAATACTGGATTGCCATTACTGCACACAGTCCAATGACAGCATGATGCTCAAACCCAAACCTGCCTTGCCTTAAATAAAACGTGATCATTTGACTGTAAAGCACACCTGCTGTTCTTGCAGGTGGCTGCATAGGACGAAATATTCACAGGAAAGAGAGGAGCAGAGAAGCTTTAGTCAACTTTACAGTGTGCAGTGGTGCAGTTCCAGTTTATTGTCGATGACTGAATGTTTATTTGATTGTACTTTGTACCTTCTGATTGGTTCAAAGCTGCCGCCTGGATGACAGACTGGACGGCTCATCATGGTTTTATCTGCGTGGCGTGTCAGTACCTGGCAAAGGTCGAAGGTTCTTTCAATAGAGTTTTATGCAATGTAAGGTGATAGTTAAACTTTTTTTTTTCGAATGTAAAATCTTAAAATGCAAAGACATTCACAGCAGCTGCTGTTGGAAAGTGTGGCAAAGCAAAAGCTCATTTGTTTGTAACGTGATGCTGATGCGCTCTACTCGAGTAGAACGCAGCCTGAAGCAAATTAACTTTTCGGCGCTGTTTGTTTGTTGGAAACACCGCTGGAGAATTGACCTGCTCTCCAGCCGAAAATAGAAAAGTATTGTTGCAGTGACCTGATTAGCTTTTAACACTTTAACACCCTGAAGGCCTCTGAACTGGGAAAATATCCTCTCTGTTATTATTATTATTAGACGTGTCCACAGAGCCCAGGGCTGCTCGTTTTCACCGTTACCGACTGGTCGTATTGTCACAGGTGGAAATGTGCAAATAAAAAAGACATAAAAGGAAATAAAAGCAATGCAGATAAGCGAACAATGTTCCAGTTCCACCCAGCAGACCTATAAGGTGCGGCAGGAAGTGCCGTCATATTAAACATCATTGTTTAAGTGGGGCAGTCTTGACTAAAAGGTTTTGCAATGATCACACAGTAAAAAAATAAATAAAAAAAAGAGGTCATATTCTGGCAGATTGCCCCTGTGCCCCAAAATACTGTTAAATAACTGAAAAATAACAATAAAAGCATAAAAATGCAGCAAATCTTCATCATTAAAACATATTTTCTAGCCTTAATTTTACATTTAGTTCAAATAGAGTAAATATATAATGATAAATAAATGTATTTTGACTTCTTAGATATTGTACAATGATCAAAATGCATTAATTCAACATTTTTGTTGTGAAAACCTCCAGAATTACACAAGAAGTCTCTCATTTAACAAACAAATCTGTGTAAAACTACAAGGCTGATGCTTTTTTCTTGCTTATTATAACTAATTCTATTTGATTTTACAAATATATTTACGATATTAAATAAAAATTTAAAATAAATTCATGTTATTTTACATTACACAGTTTAATTTTGTAATTGTATTTTTTCATCAGTCAAAAAAACATAAAACGCAGTCAAATGGAAAAAAAAAAAAAGCTTCCATAAAATACAGATTATTTTGTTTATTTTCTGTTTACGGTGCGGGTTGCTCTTTATCACCCTTTCAGATGTAAATACAGGTGACAAGTTGTGGGAACAGCGTCGGTACGATTTGTTGCTCCACCACAAAGACCAGAACAGCTTCCCTGCTCTTGCGACAGATTTGGCCGTCTGAAATCTCCCCAAGGTGTCCAGGTCATCTGAGGTCTGCTGACTGTGAATTCCACAGCACATGATTCACAGCGAGTGGTGAGAGTCCCGAGCTGCAAAAAAAAAACAACAACTCAGGACTGGTTCAGCTTTTTTCAGGGAAAAGTTCAGCACTGTGACTGTAAAATGCAATCTGAATTAAATTTTACTGGTGCACAAGTAAAGCTATAGTAACAAACATGTGTTCGGTGAATCATTATTATTATTTATTTTTTAATAAATCCACTTGTTCTGTCGTTGAACGTTTACATTTTATCAACACCTACACATTTGCATCAGCCACTGGCCCTTTACAGGTGAATATATTTACTGAAGACGTAATGAAACACTGCATTGTTGCTTTTAAATACACAACAAACCAACATTTTTTAAATACTTCTCAGTATATCTGCATTTTTTTGAATTCCTCCACTCGTTTTGTTCTTTAATTCAGGTTTTACCTTAAAGTTGGCAGCAGCATCCCAACTGTTTTACAATCAAACACAATAGTGATAACGCTCCACAGCAGAATACTTTCTCAGGTGAGCCACGTGTCCGTCCGCTGTGTCGCAAACATATTTTGCCAGCATATGGCTGATTACACCCTTTTTCCCTCGGCTGTGCTCACAGGGCCCAACCATGGGATTGACCAATGTATTGTTGCCATGTTGTTGGACGGCAGCGCTTGGGACACACTGATCTATCATCGAGAAGGACAATTAAACTAAACTGCAGGGCTGGCTTTGAGAAGTTGCTTCACGGCATTAATTCCACGCTGTTGTGAGCGAACGCTTTTGCAACTTCCAACGATTTGAAATTTCAGAGAGAAAAACAACGAAAGGCGGCGGCGGCGGTGGTGGTGGAGGGGAAACACCACATATAAAACTATGCATTAGGATTGATAACCCAGTATTATACCTCTGAGCTGTTTTGTTTGGACGGACGGTTGAAAACAATGACTGTAAACCCTGTGAGAACAGACAGCGGGAGCCTCCAGACGTTCGGCGAGGAGGAAAAAATTCTAGCGTTACCCAACCACCTGTAAACACATTAGCAGTCCCTCTGGTGAGGGCGTGAGCCTGAAATGTGGAGGTGAGAAGTGGCAGGGAAGGGAACACAGTCAGCTGGATGACTTGGATGCTTGAGACATGTTCAGGCAAATAATGTTGAGGTTTCACTTTGACACAAGCTCCCGAGTCATGCAGTTAAACGGGGGAAATGGTGACCGAGGTGCATGATGTCACCGTGGTGAAATCACAGATAACGTCTTAGGGGTTAATTAAAAACATGTTTAAACACATTCCCTGACTGATAACTACACGCAAAAGTTTGTTAAAATCATCAGTTTTCTTGACAAAAGATGCTGACGTGTTGTAAAGTACTGCCATAGTAAGCATATTAAGTGTAGCATACCAGGAGTTCCACTTTGACTCCCAACAAGATGTTTTCTCAAGTAAATGAGAAACAAAAAATCTAGCAATCTTTACGAGACTATAAAAAAAAGAAGGTGAACATTCTGTACATATAAATCAAGCAGCAACCACAGCGGCTAAAGAATGAAGACAATGCAGAAGCGCCTCATGCTGCAGTTCCACAAACAGCCACTAGAGGTAAACGTGAGTCCGTCCCCATAGAGCACCATGTTAAAATGCCCAGCGTTACAGCAGGAATAAACAAAAAGAGCAGCTTTAGTCTCTGTGGCTAGTTATCACATAACAGCTGTACCAGGGGTGAATTTTTACACGACTTACACGTTCAAGCTGCGTTACGGATTAACGCTTTTAGTGACAGGTGGGTGCTGTCATAGGACATTCAGTCGACAAGTCATTTTTCAGATTAGCTAGGCGTTAGAAGGAATCTGCCAGGACGGCGAAAGTCCCTGCTCTGACTCTGCATTCCTAATCACATACTTTTCTTGCTACTTTCTGTACGTACTGTACCCGCCCTTGTGTTGTACAAACTGTTGCATAACACGTCACCATTCATTTCTCCTAAACTTTGACCGTCTTGGTCCTACATCACCTTGGATTGTGGGTCAGAATGGGCAGAACAGCATGCTGGCTTACAGTAGGACTAAATCTACATACTAAATCTTTCCCTGCCGTACTATGTAGCGTGGTAGGGTGGTTGCTGGAACACACCTTGAGCTTTAGAACCAGTCTTCGGGATTGGTGAAGTTTGTGTCAAGGCCAACAGCAGCGAGTTGGCGAACTTGCTTTAAAAGGGGGATTTACAGCAGCAAGTGA